GCGATCTGATAAACCCCACCGAGACCATTCCTCCTCCAATCGAAGAAGCACAATCCCAAACACCCCGATCGGCGTTTGCAGCCATCCTCCTCCTTACGGTTTTGCTGCCAGAAGTATGTGAGAAAGAACCCAAGAATAACAGTCGAAGGTACCGACTGCCATCACCTTCATGACCCCACCTGTTTCCCCGATCGGAACCACCCAACCCACCCTAAACGTCGACTGATGTTGTTATTGCTCTCATGTCGGATCGATACCGACAAAGAAGCAAGAGGGATCAAGAGGAGCTCACCGGAGAAGTCGGCTCCCCCTCCTCACGACCGTATAACCCTCATCAAGCCACGATCGTTGGCTTCCTGCTTCCGATCTTGCTCTTTTCCCCGATCTACCTTTGAACCGCTCCTGGTTCATGTGGATTGTGATCATCGACGGCGTGAGAGAAACCCTGGACCTCGTCGGGATTTGGCCCTTCTCCCCTGCTGCTCCGTTTGCTTCTTCCATGTCCCGATCAATTAACGATGGAGACCTGGTCCCCTTTTTGTACATTTGACGAATTTGACCAGACCGGTCCCTCCACATTTAATTTTAAACCAAAACCACCCCCATTGAGATATGTTAGCAAATGAGGCTTAGCAATTTCAAAAATAACCCATTTTTATATAAATCATCACAAATCAGTCCTTGTGATAATTAAATTACAAAATAATTTTTATAGAAATATAAAGTATTTCAAAAACTATTCCCTTTGATTTGAAATGTTATAAAAATTGTACCGGACTTCGTTTAACTCAAAATACATTAAGATGCGGTTGTTCATGAAAAGCTTCAACGAATGAACAAATTACATACAGATCGAGATCACGCAATGAATGTGAGTTTCTACGGCCCCTCTTTTACGGTTTTAATAATTGGGGGAGAATATATGCGTGTCTATTAAAGTTTGATGATTTTCAAGTTTTATATACAAAATAACATCTTACTTTGTTATTGGTCAAACGTTTATGAAATAGCAATCTAAAGATGTGATAAATCACTAGCAAATCTATTAAGTTAAAGTAGATTGTTATAAGTTGATATAATTATACTTTATGTGAAATATAAATATAATTATTAAGAAAAGTCACAAGATTATAAGTAGATTGCTATACTTACACAAGTGGATATTATGAGTCACAAAAATGATGACTTTACATGTATAAGATAAAGTATCTCATGGAAGCATGGAACGATATAATAATGACCAAAACTATTATCCGTGTATAAAATGAAAGTATATTGCCATAATTGATGGAAGATTAAATTCATGAGATTATATAATTATAAGTTAAAATTATAAGATTTAACTTTTAATATATATAAGGTTATGTAAAAATGAATTGAGAAGTTATTAATATATTTTTATATTAATTATAACAACATAACTTCATTATACTAGGTTATTTATTCTTATCACAATAAATAACATGATCGACTTCAGAGCTTAAGAGTCGTTATTTACGAAATAAATACTTGTCGAGTATTGTATTTAAAGACTTTAACTTTATCCCAAACTAAATTTTATTAAAATTATTCTCGCATAATATATATAAAATATGGGGAATGTAGATTTACGGTCGATCCAAACTTGGATAAATTCAAAAATTAGCTATTATGCTAATACAACATCGAAACCGTATCTAGTATGATAAATTCTTGAAGTTATAAGAATTTCAGTTATCGTTTTCCTAAACGGTGAATAATGTTACATATCCAGTGAATTTAGAATGGATTATATAGGTTCATTATACCTATTCCATATAGGTTTATCATACCTATTCCATACGGGTTTATCATACCTACTCCATATAGGTTTATCATACCTATTCCATATAGGTTTATCATACCTATTCCATACGGGTTTATCATACCTACTCCATATAGGTTTATCATACCTATTCCATATAGGTTTATCATACCTATTCTAGATAGGTTTATCATACCTATTCCATACAGGTTTATCATACCTACTCCATATAGGTTCATCATACCTATTCCATATAGGTTTATCATACCTATTCCGAATACCAGATCCGATACGTTGAGTTTTCATTATAAATTATTCCGGGTTTCGCGAAAGCTAAGATCTCAATACTTAGTAGAAACTCTACAATATATAACCGTTAATCCTGGAGGGAACGACTAACGTCGGGTGTAAGTGTCATATTATTGATCTTATACGGTACGACCACCCGCCTGGAGTTGCTAGCTACAACTACATCTGACGAGATGAATTTTGGCGCTGACGTTAGCATTATCGAAACATTACCACGTGTTACACCGGGGTGAATGACTTTAGCACGCACGCATTATTATGGTGTCGGTGCATTAATAAAGTACAGTGTCACGAGTTCGGTTATGACTTCATTATACAATCCCAGCTTTGTTTCGTTACCGTATAGAATCAATATTGGATTTATATGGGGTTTATGTTCACTTATTCTAGTTGAAAGAAACTGTATTTAGTGGGATAGCTTGTGACTCAAAGCGATAAGTGTCAATACCAAAAATTAAGTTATATAACACTTAATTAATATCATGACACGACTCGAAAAGATTTATTAACTTACATTAGATAAGTTATTTATATAAACCATTTGTTTTTATAATAAAACATAATGTTTACGTGGGAGGAGTTTACCCCACCGGTTAAGTGTCGGTTTTCAAATTAAGTAAGATAATACTTAACTATTGTCACGACACGATTTTACAAAGTTCATAGATTAAAGACTTATGAGTTTTTCATATAAATGATACAAATTCTTGTGTAAGGTTTCAAGAGTAAAGTTGGTTATTTTATGTTCTCACAAAGAGTAACATTTCCTATTTTTATATAATTGATATTCAAAATATTTATATAAAAATGCATTTTGATATAAGTCTGAATTATTTATATGTATTTTCCAACTTTTGTACATTTGGATTTGAACAAATGGTATTTATGAATGAGTCATAACACATGGTTTTTTTATACTTTTAATACAAAAGTAAATATTTATAAAAGCTGGTCAACCAGTTAAATTTTATCAAACACTTTTGGGTATAAAAATACTCTGTGTCAAAACCTGCAGAACTCACCAACAATTTTGTTGACGTATTTTAATGCATGTATTCTCAGGTTATTTAGCATATCGGAAGTGTTCGCTCAGAAGACTCTCCGTTAGTTATATTATATCTTTGTAAACGTCGGATTGTTAGGCGTGTGTTGCGATTTAGTAATAGTCATTGTCAATGTAATTTCTATTTTGGTAATAATAGAAGATTATATTTGTACTGCTCAATGTATGTTTAATAACTGTGATCACTGATTTACGTCGCGCACCTCGGCGTTTCCGCCGGCGGCCAAGGGTGTGACATCACACAACTTCAATCTCCAAGACCCGATTCTGCAATCTGCTAGGGCTTCCACAATCTGATAATCTGATCAATCCGGAAACCATCCCCAATGCATCCATCTTGGAGATATTTTATCAGATGGGATACAAGGAAACACTCACTGCTGTATCCAAGTTCAAGAAACCCAATCTTCCACCAACTTGAATGCCCTTTTCACCATTCTGTTCAAATCTTTTTCAGAAAGGGTCACAGGCAACGACTGTGCCAGCAAGCTCTTCATGGGTCTGATGTATGGCCTCTACACTGGTGAGAACATTGATTACGGTTCTATCATCTGGGCTCAATTCATCCAGAGCACTCACTCTGTTACTCGTCACAGTGAGATCTCATGTGCGAGATTCTGGACCATTGTTGTCAAAAGAGCTATTAAGCAGCTTAGGATTCCAGTGATGACTGATGCACTGATGGCTTCCATTGCGACATTCCATACTACAGGTATTATTATGGTTGATAGGTCCAAGTTTGATTTTATTGGCTCAATTCCAGAAGCGATGTTTCGTGATGTTCCTCCTACAAGTAAAATTCTAGAGGGATATCGTGCTCTTACTCCTTCTGGACCTCGTCATTTAACTGATGAGTTTCAAGCCGATTTGGCTGAGGCTGATAAACCCAAGAAAGGGGGCAAAGGGTCCAAGAGACCTACCAAGAAAGATTCTACGAAAGAAGGACCCTCTGAGGCTTCAAAACCTCCATCCAAGAAGCGAAAGGCTCCTACTACCTCTACTGCTGCACAAAAGAGAAGGAAGCAATCTGCTAAAAGGCGAAAGTCTCCAACTCCCACTCCATCTCAGAGTGAAGAGGCACACTCAAATTCTGATACCGAGTCGGAGATTCGCATTGAGCAGAATTCCCCAGTTCGCAATGAGGAAGATGAACTCATTCGCACTGAAGAACAAGAACAGGTTCGCAATGAGGAAGAAGAACATGTTCGCATTGAGATCCCGTCTCCTCATCGCGAGGTAACTCCACCCCTTACTGATTCTATTCCTTCTCCACCTCCCTCACCAAAAACAACTACTTCTATACCAATCACTATTGCTCCTCTGCCACCATCTGTATCATCTCAAACACCCACAACTATTCCAGTTTCCATACCTATTTTCACTGATTCCACTGTTCCTCCTCAAACCTCCACTGCACCTGTGAGTTCCGTCAACGTATCTGATACGAGGGCTAACACCTCAGGTTTTTCAACCCATGTTACACCACCCATCTCTCCCATTCGCACAGATGATCCGGACATGATCTTCGGAGATGACGAAGATGATGATTTGGAAGGATTCACTTATAGTGCTTTTCAAATCAGGATTGACGATGAAGATGATGTCTCAACTACGAAAGCGGAATTCAAATCTCTTAATGAGAAGCTTGATCAGCTGTTTCTCGCATCCAGTGTTACCACTTCTAAAGCCTATTCTAAAGTTGCAATTGAGTTAATCCTTGAGAAAGTCACAAAGGAACATACTGCCAATACTTCCACTTTATCCAAGGCAGTTTCTGATTCTGCTGTCGTATGCAAGGAAACGACCGAAAAAGTCGATAAACCAATTGCTGATACAAGGGAATTCATGGAAGCTTACCAGGTTACCTACAACGCCAACACCACCACAACGAACAAGGCTATTCAGAATGTTGGTGCCATGTTTCAAGCCGAAAAGGCGGACTTTGCTGAACTTCGCACCGTCCTTAAGACCGATCATGAAGCATTCCAGTCCTCTATCGATGCGAAACTCACAAAGCTTCAAGAAGAGCTGGAAATGGAGAACAAGATCATGGATGCTCTCGTAGTCAAGGAGGAAAAATGCAAAGTGTTGGATACCAAGCTCCACTTCACTCAAAAGAAGGTCGATGATTTGCTAGCAGAGAAAGCATTACCCGAAGTGATATTTGTTCTCTGATGTTAATGGACTGCTCTCTGATATCATTGAGACCTGTGATCCTATGATTTCTATCACAGTACGAAAGCATCTGGGTGAAAAGTTCAGACCGGTGTTCGCAATGTTACACCGTTTGGAGGGTGTTTCGCCGCCGGTGTCTTTTGCAAAACAAGGGGGAGAAGGTAGTTCTAAAGCTCGAACATCTAAAGCTCAAACGGGAGATGCCAACCCCAATGTTTCAGTTAAACCTCCTATCATCAAGCAAGATCCAATGCATAAAGAAACGTTATTCAGTAATGAACCCATTGTTGATGATAGTGAAGACGAAGAACCTGATGAAGCTGAGCTTAAAAGGCGGAAGGTTCGCGAGGCAGAAATTGATGAACATGCTCGCATTGTCAGAGAAGCAGAAGAAAAAGAAATAGCTGAAAAGGAAGCTCAGGCCACTCTTAAAAGCAAAATGCTATTATTTCCAAAGTGGACCCTGAAGCGAATGCAAAACCAAGCTGTTGATATAAGTCAGTTTTGGCTCGATCGTATTGCTTCTTTTGATGTCCAATTCACAGGATTCACAGCTGAATCTTCCTATTACACCAAAGGCCTTCAGGTTCCGTTCCTTTATAAAGGTCGCAAATGTTCCTTTCTCAGACAGCATTGGGGATCAACTATTGTTTGCCTTCTACCTGAAGCATATGAAGCCTCAGTACGAGACCTGGAGTGCGAATAAATTGTGTGCTGTGAAGATCACTGGGCCCATCGAAACTGAAGCTTCCCTAATGCGAAGTTTAAAAGTTGCGAGAGGATCTACACATCAAGCCTGCAATTCACTCTCGCAGATCTGCCATGCTTGAACCACCATGACTGATGGTGGATTCCCATCAACATTTTGCCCCCTAGCGAGAAGAAGGAAAGTACAACCTGTGTTTACCCATCTTCAAATCATGATCAAGTTCTACATCAGGACGTAGGTTGATGATGTGATATTGCCACTGTTCTAAGGCAAAAACCAAATGTATTTCCTAAAGAAGCTCCGAAAGACGTCCAGAAGCTCAGCCAGGAAGATTTGAACAAAGAATGATGGTTCGTAGGGTTTACATGTACGAACTTCTATAAGATAGTCCAGGAAAAGATCGGCAAACAATTTTTATTCTTAATGGGTTTTATGCATGAGAACAATCCTATGTGCTCATACAAACCCTAATGCTTGGATCTAGGTTTCTCTATTGTACATGCAATGAATCGAAGACTTATAAACCCTAATCTAGCATACATAATATCAAATTAACATATAACATCAGATCTAGATGTTTACCTCTTCAAATAGTAGCTTGAATCTTCTTCTCTTGAGCTTAGAATCACAATTGTAATTCCTCTAATGGATCACAAACACCACACAAGCAAGAAGGCAACTTTGAGAGAGAGGAGGATGCTAATTTTCGGCCTAGGGTTTCCTCTTGGGAACCAGTGGCCGAAAATTTCATGCAAGGGTCTATTTATACTATAGGCTGCTAGGGTTTCAGTCTAAACCCTAATGGACACCTTAGCCACCAAGCAGCCCAAGGAACCTTCTGGAATAGGGCCTTGGACGAAATATGATGATCCCTCATCATAATTTCGTTCCCCCTTAGTCCATTAGGTTTCCCAGCCCAAAACTCAACACATCACACATTTGACAGTTTATACCCCTTTATTTAATTAATCTCTTTTAGTCACCAAATTAATTCCTAATTAATTATGACTAATACTAATTAAATAAATATGATTTCTCCTTTAATATATTATTCTTTAATATATTAATAAACCATAAATATCCTCTCTCTTTCCTTAAATTACCTTGTCAAGTTGCTTTGGTGAAGGCAACCCAAAAGGACCATGCATAACCGGGTCAAGTACATACCAAATATAGTTACGGGCTTAGACACTAATCCAACAGTCTCCCACTTGGATAAGTCTAGTAACTATATCTCACATACGACTTCAGGATCCGGTTAGCAATCGTAGCTCTTATACGCTTCTGTCAACTCTGATCAAAATCCTGTCCTTCAATAAGGGATCGTATAATCCTCTGTTCTAGATATCATGCAGACAATACTTATTGTCCAGCATTTTGTTTCTCGATCTCTGATTTGTTCGACATAGAATTCAGTTGAACACATCAACTCATCCTGACCGGGCCCGGCACATAAGTCAAACCAAATCATCGAGTGGCCAAGATATCGCTTTTATACTCTTAGAATAAAAGGAACAGAAAAACTTCGACTTATATGCTTTATCATTTACTAGCTAAGTCACACACAATAATGCGTTTTTATAACATCAAGTTACTGATGCGTTTTCGTATTATCAATGTATAATCAACTAGCAAACAATAACCATATCTCTAGGTTTAAAGATTATATGATATTATCATCTTGCGATCACTTGTGATAACTTTCATGAAGTGATACTAGCAAGTGCGGGTTTATTCCAATGCTCAAAACATATTTCATAAGCACTCATAAACTTTGTAGCAAACCTTTGCTATGTCTAAAACCTTTTAGACAATCTACAAACAAATTTATGACAATCTTCTTTTCATATCTACTTCCAACATATGAGCGATTGTGGACTGTTCGAATAATCTATTATTCAGGAAGTCAAAACATGCAAAATCGAAACAATAGATAAATAATCAACACAAGATAGAAACTTTCTTATAAATAACACACCTTTATTTAATCATCAAATGTTGAATACAAAATTATCCATTACAAGTTTCCTACCTATCTAATCTAAACTAATATCGTCCTTTAGCCCAACGCTCCTAGCGTGCTTCAAATGCTTGACCCTACTCAGTCCCTTCGTAAGGGGATCTACTGGGTTATCTTCTGACGATATCCTCTTCACAACTAGGAGTCCCTCTTCTACCCGATGTCTGATAAAATGGTATTTCCTGTCGATATGTCGAGATCTGCCATGATCCCTTGGTTCCTTGGTCAAGGCAACCGCTCCTTCATTATCATTGAAAATTTCCATGGGCTCCTTTATGGATGGCACAACTCCAAGGTCTCCTATGAAGTTCTTCAACCATATAGCCTCCTTTGACGCCTCGCTTGCCGCAATGTACTCTGATTCGCACGTTGAATCAGCTACGGTCTCTTGCTTGGAACTTTTCCAAGTCACTGCTCCTCCGTTCAGGGTAAAGACCCAGCCTGACTGCGATCGGTAATTATCCCGATCTGTCTGAAAACTAGCGTCACTGTACCCTCGCACCCTTAAGTCATCACTCCCACTGAGGACTAGAAACCATTCCTTGGTCCTTCGTAGGTACTTAAGAATATTCTTGACAGCAATCCAATGCGCTCTACCAGGGTTCCCTTGATATCTGCTGACCATGCTCAAAGCGAAGGCCACATCAGGGCGAGTACAGGTCATAGCGTACATAATCGAGCCAACTGCGGAAGCGTAAGGTACTCGGCTCATATCAGCTATCTCTGCCTCTGTACTCGGGCTCTGAGTCTTACTCAGTTTGGTATTGCATTGGATTGGCAACTCCCCTTTCTTGGAATTTTCCATACTAAAACGTTTTAGTACCTTTTCCAAGTATGTATCCTGACTGAGTCCTATCAGTCTCTTACTTCTGTCTCTCACTATCCTTATTCCCAGAATATACGCAGCCTCTCCGAGGTCCTTCATAGCGAAACACCCCAAGCCAGGACTTGACCTCCTGCAAGGTTGGGATGTCGTTTCCTATGAGCAGTATGTCATCGACATACAATACGAGGAAGCTCACTATACTCCCACTGGCCTTGACATACACACATGACTCATCTTCGTTTCGTAGAAAGCCAAACTCTTTGACCTTCTCGTCAAAACAAAGATTCCATCTGCGAGATGCTTGCTTTAATCCATAAATGGATTTTTCAAGCTTGCACACCCTATTGGATGCTTCGCATCGACAAAACCCTCTGGCTGATTCATGTAAACATCCTCAGCCAACTTCCCATTTAGGAAAGCGGTTTTTACGTCCATCTGCCAAATTTCATAATCATGAAACGCAGCTATTGCGAGCATTACCCTAATAGACTTTATCTTAGCAACTGGTGAGAAGGTCTCATCATAGTCAACTCCAGGAGTTTGAGTAAAGCCCTTCGCGACCAATCGCGCTTTATAAGTGTGCACTTTCCCATCCATGTCTGTCTTCTTCTTGAAGATCCACTTGCACCCGACTGTCTTACGACCTGGTACATTATCAACCAAATTCCAAACTTGGTTGTCATACATGGACTGAATCTCGCTGTCCATTGCCTCTTTCCATTTAGCAGACTCTGGGCCTGCCATGGCTTCCTTATAGCTATTAGGTTCGTCCAGATTTACTAGTGTACTATCACTAATAAACGTATCCCCGTCAGTAGTAATATGGAAACCATAAAACTGGGGTGGAACACTAACTCTATTGGAACGTCTAAGAGGTAAGGACTGGTCAATTGGTTCAACAGGAGTTTCCTCCTCAGGTTGAGCACCAGTGTCAGAGGTTCCTTCATCTCCTGACTCTTGAAGCTCTTCAAGGTCAATCTGACTCCCACTGTCTCCTTGACTTATGAGTTCTCTCTCTCTGAAAACTCCTCTCCTAGCAACAAAGACAACATTGTTACTTGGTCTATAGAAGAGATAGCCAAAAGACTTCTGTGGATAGCCGATGAAATAACACTTCTCACTACGAGGTTCTAGCTTGTCGTGAGTCTCTCGTCTTACGAAAGCTTCACAACCCCAAACCTTGATATGTGCTAACGAGGGAGCTTTCCCTGTCCACATCTCGTGAGGTGTTTTGGCAACCTTCTTGGTGGGAACTAAGTTAAGGATATGGGCGGCAGTCTCTAAGGCATACCCCCAGAATGAGATTGATAACGAAGCACGACTCATCATAGAACGAACCATGTCCAACAAGGTTCGATTACGTCTCTCAGCCACACCATTCAATTGTGGCGTTCTAGGAGGCGTCAATTGCGAAACTATTCCACATTCTTTTAGATAGTCGTGAA